GAAAATGCAATATTGACGAAAATACAATTTTAAACAAAAAGAAACCCATGCCTCTAAAAAATACAAAAGAATAAAAAAGTAAGAAAAAGGCCACCGGAAGTTATTCTGTTTGCACACGCGCAAATGAGCTGATGGTACGGATCGTGCTTCCGGTACGGATCGGGTAATGACAGGCAGCTCAGACTGCCTTAAAGCGGCGCTCTGGGTCACATGACCCATTCAGAGACAGATCCGATCCTCTAAAGTCACAGAGGAGTTTTTGAGATGAGCAGCCTGTATAGAGCATCGATAGGCAACAAGTGCTGAAAAATCATTTAGGATATTTCAAGTGATGCTAATAACTGGATCAAAAGTATTGAAGCTTCGCTTTAAAGGAGACCCTCATCCAATCAGAGCATGAGCTGCTCTACAAGGAACAAGGTGAGAAACTCTGCATCTCTAGAGGAACAAAGCTGGTAGAGAAATATTCCTAAAATTTCTAAAAAATATGGCTGCAACTAATGATTATTTTTCTAATCAATTAATCTGTTGATTGCTTTTTCGATTAATTAATTAATAATCTGATAGCCAAAGGTTCCTTCACTGGAAAAACAAGCTTTTTAAATTAAGTGTATTTACCCTTAATTTGAGCAGGTAACTTGGATAGTTTGCCAATGGAATGAGTATTTTTACTCTTAAAATAACATCATTAGAAAATATGCACTTGAAATAAGACAATGCAATTTTTTTTTATTATTTGAAATGTAAATTGTCTTGTTCCATTGGCAAAATGTCTCACCCTGACACCTCAATTAAAGAAAAAAATATATTTTAAGAACAAAATGACTTAATTAGATTTTTTGCAGTGTTAAAAGAAGATATTTTACAGAATCAAACCAGGTGAGACTAAAACTTTTCCAATCAGGAGTTCTGGGTATTAATGGACCTTATTTTTAAATCTTAAATTCAAAATATTTATAAAAGTTTTTTTGCATTCTTGGTATGATTGCTGCTCTAAATCGGTTACTCTGTCAAATAAAGGCTTGTGTTGGGGTCTCTAAGTGTCGTTTCTAAGTCACCAATTTAGTGCTACTTGGTCCCAATGGAATTTCCCAGTGGGAACCTACTAACACCAAGTTGCTAACTGGTTAGCAAGATGCTTCAAAGAAACCGGCCACACCCAAAACGCTTGCGAACCTTCTGCCACAACAACCCTGCCCTCTTGATAAACAACCAATCACATTCACTTTATTCACTCGTGTAAAGTCAGGCACCACTCGGGAGAATTCGGAAATTAAACGGTTGGAACAGCCGCTTTCCTAAGACTTTAAAAACAAACCTTCTTTCACTTTACAACGTTGGAATCATTCAATTCCATATCGCGGAAAATCCCAACATCTTCCTTCGACTTTTATGGTTGTTATGGCAATGAAACCAAAAACAAAAGCACGTCTCTCTTGTTTTTTTTTTACTCACTTTGCCACTGAATCTCTCCGTTTTTTCCAAGTATGTTTCAGCTAGCTGCAAGGCTTCCAGGATTTTAGGAGCAACTGGAAAAAAGAAGGAGTATCTTAAAGTTCTTGTAAGAAAAAGAATGGGAAAGAAAAGACCACCGGTACCTTCAGCAACATCAGCTTGACTGTCAGTTTTTAAAGATCCCGGCAGTCCTGCTTCGATCAAACTGTGTTCTATCAGAGTGGCTCCGTAGGCTAAAGACACAGTAGGAGAGGAAGCAGCATCAGAAAGAAGCGCACAGGGTTTTTCTTTATTTTTTTTATGTGTGCTGAAAAAGTTGTTTTGTTTGTTTCTTACGCAGATGTGGGTTCAGGACTCTTTTCACCTGCTCTCCATGTTGGGCTTTGCTTAAGATTTCTGAGAGCCTAAAAAAAAACATGATGAATGTTCAGTAGTGATGGTGAGATGAAGCCTCATAAGGCAATGAACAGTTTGGGCTAATGTCACCACCTACTGGTGGAGAGAAAAACTACAGTTAGTAATATAACCTGCAATTGTTTTGCTAGTTTTATTCCCATTTAAAGGAGAATTCCGGTTTTTAACACTTTTAGCCCATTTTCTGTAGTGTCCAGGATGAAATCGAATGATCGACACCAAAATTTTGACAATTGGTCCTGTCTCTGCTTTTTGGCTCATTTAGAATCCACCCCTGGCTGCTTCAGAATGGCTTACATAGTGCATGTCCGATAATGTCCTACAAACAACCTTAAACGTTCTTTTTTTAAAATATGCTACTCACCGGGTCGTCAGCGCTGTTCAATGACGTTCCAAAAAAAGTTTCGTAAAGAGAAAACGTTTCTGTAGTGTTTTATTTAGCATTTTGTAAATCCCATTGAGTTCTGTTGGAATAGTCAATATTCCGCTGCCACCGGAAACGGAAATGGGGCCTGTTTACACAGTTGTAGTCTTTTCGCTTCACTCTGTGTACTCCGACGTCGAGGTGCTAACGTCTTAAACACTTTAAAAAACTCTGAAAATGGAATACGAAAGGTGGATTCTTGATTCTCGACGTCGGAGTACACACAGTGAAGCGAAAAGACTACAACTAAGTGTAAACAGGCCCCATTTCCGTTTCCGGTGGCAGGGGAATATTGACTATTCCAACAGAACTCAATGGGATTTACAAAATGCTAAATAAAACACTACAGGAACGTTTTTTCTTTACGAAACTTTTTTTGGAACGTCATTGAACAGCGCTGACGACCCGGTGAGTAGCATATTTAAAAAAAAGAACGTTTAAGGTTGTTTTAAGGACATTATCGGACATGCACTATGTAAGCCATTCTGAAGCAGCCAGGGGTTGATTCTAAATGAGCCAAAAAGCAGAGACAGGAGCAATTGTCAAAATTTTGGTGTCGATCATTCGATTTCATCCTGGACACTACAGAAAATGGGCTAAAAGTGTTAAAAACCGGAATTCTCCTTTAAGTTGCTTTGAAATTGTTAATGATTGCTGGATATAATACCTTTTTTCTATTGCAAAATGTCTTAGAAGAGTTATGGTGCACTGTTTTTCTGCCATTTTAGTGAACTAAGCTCAAGCAGACAATGAAAATGCTTGTGAAAATTGGATAAAGATTAGCAAAATTAAAGGTGTAAAGGTGTCATTTTTATTCAAAAATGACATTTTTTCCACAGTTATTGGTTTTAATCAAGTAGGAGGTTATGTATTCAACCAATATTTTGGCTAAACCGACCAATCTAAGTGTCAGTGTTTTTACTAAATCTATATTTGCACAAGGGCAAAACAATAAAATAAGTCAAATTCACCAAAATAATTGTTAAGAATTTTCACAACTTTCAAAAAGCCAAGGTGGGTCTTGAACCTACAACCTTAGGACTGGAAGTCAGTGGCTGTTTCTCAATATGTCTACTTGTGCATGCTTGTGTCCCCGTGAAACGTCATCTGCCTCAGCCCTAGTACTGTTCCAATTCACAAGAAGACAGAGAACGGACAAAGTCCCCGGATGTTGTTCTCGCCCCTCCCTCTTTACCCAGCATGCATCAGAAAAGACTTCTCCGTTCTGTAGACTGACAGCTGTCCCAGCATGCACTGCGGCAGCAGCAGCTTCCAGGTTAGAGCTCAGAGTATTAATTTAAGTTCTCTTTTCTGTTGTCGTTGTTCAATAAAGTACATTTTAAAATAATTTGATGCAAGAACATTACAATAAAAAAAAAATATAAAATTCCAAAGTTGAGAGGACCGCGGCAACCGGTGGAGCTCCAAAGGTAACCGCAGCGAAGGCTAACGTTAGCCCGTCTGCAGCAGTCCTATGGCTATGATGGCTATTTTTTTGTTTTATTTGGCAAAAATGTTCATTTGATTTGTGTTTATCTGACTGTGTTCATTATTATTCCCCCACTCAATGAAAAAAGGTAGAATTTATCATTTTCTAGAGACTACTAATAACAGGAGGGGAAATGCAGCTCCAGACGAGCCGAGCGTGTGGTGATGTCACCAGTACGCATCTGTTCCAACTGACCCACATTTATGCTGCGTGCTCCCGTCCTGTGTTATTCTCTAGAACATACTTGGTGAGAACACGAGTCTGTACTCGTGTTCTTGTGAATTGAGAAACAGCCAATGTCTTACAGCTGATGCCACTGGCACTGATGGCAATAAATCAGAAAACATTACTACTCATCACTGATGTAACAAGTGTAACCAGTGGCTTGCTCAGATTCTGATCATTATATTGTTTAATCTAACCAAAATAGTTTTAACCAACTTGCTTTTCCAACCAATCTATTCTTAGAATATAAATAAACTCTATCCAACTGACAGCAACTGTCCTCCAAACTCCGCTGTCGAATTTGGGGCGAGCTGAACCACTTCCTGAAGCGATCATGTGGTATGGCGGCGTACCTCTCCTAAACGAAGCAAACTTCGCCACGCGCTTCACGGAAACACCCCCTCGACTACTCAACACACACCTCAAAGCCTCATACCATCACTAATGTTCAGTGAATCATGATAGGCATCATCATCATCGTCATGTTACCGCTCCAAAGTGATGAGGGGCTCTGGGGGCCTGGCGCTCTCCACGGGGTACCGCTCCCTCACTGCTATCTTCACATCTTCTGCCTCCGCTGTACGGAACCTCAGCAGATTCAGGATGGTGTACTCATGGTCAGCCAGGATGATGTTGCCCTAAGAGAGGACACAGACCACATCAGGCGGGTCACTACGTTTGGCTGCACAGGGGGGGGGGGGCTGTGTTTTACTTGACACGGTTCTTAAAGTGCAGCTCTCTAACCCGGTCGTAGAGTTCAACGATGAGGTGGTAGGCGGCCTCATCCGAGCCGAACTGGATGTCAACTATCCTGTCGATTCCCAGCTGCTTAACCTGGGTCAGCCGCCGGCTTTTCAGATGTTTTCGACACTGTGGAGGAAAACAAAAGCTGATCAGACGTAGGGGATTATGAAATTAAAAATCCAAAGCTGCTCAAGGGTGGCAAATAAAAGCATTCGTTAAGCTACAAACACAACATTCAGTATTTCATTGGTATTGTAGATGGCAGACCAACACAAAATGCATCATGGGAGTAATTATTTCCAGTCCACTGAGCCCTTGCTGTAGAACAGGGCTGTTGACCTCCGGTCCTCGAGGTCTGGTGTCCTACAAGCTCTAACTGATCCCCAAGTAACACAGTTCAATCAAAGGACTAAATTACCATCCCATGCACTCTAGTACTCCAGAGTCTTTCTAACCACCTAATAATGCGGCTCAAGTGTGCCAATAGAAAGACATGATGCATAGAAATCAGAGTAGCCTGGAATGTTTTAATATGCCACCTATAATGTGACACAGTTTGGATTCTGAGCCACTTGTTCAGCATACAGTTCGTGATGGACTCAGACCTGAACCTTCAGAGGCTCATAAAGGCAGTTACTACCCAATCACCTGTAGAACATTTCCAGTATTAAAGGACTAATGTCCATTCAGGATCTAGAAAAACTCATTCAGGCATTTATCTTTAGTAGAATTGATCACTGCAACAGTGTCTTAATAGGTCTGCCTATAAAATCCATCAGAGCTGCAGCTGATCCAAAAGGCTGCTGCGCCAATTCACAACACATGTCATCTCAAGGCACTTTCCAGTTCACCAGATCATCCA